GTATAAATAAGTATTTATATTTGTGTACAAGCTGTTTAGATTGTAAAAAGCCTGTGTTTTTAGGGTTATTAACAAAGTTCATGTACTCAGACCAGTAATATTTGGGATCACAAGTTTTTGCCATGAATATTTTGTGGGTCAGAAGATAAAAAGTTTGGGAACCACTGGTTTAGACTGTTGACAAATTTGCAGACAGTTGAAGAATGTCAAACAGAACAACTACATGCTACCGTCGTCTTATGAATAAATGTTCACAAAAAACACACAAATACAGCAGACAGGCCTGTCCGGATGGACACTCACTCATTGACAAAGTTAAAAAGCTAAACAGACATGGATATAAAACTGTACATGTTCAAAGGTCATGTGATTATAACACAATGACTACAATAAGATGCTGGGTCCATGTCAGTGGGGTTTAAGATGAACGTTCTGGAGACTTCCTTCTGAATGCTCTTTGACAACTGGTTGCATTTAATACTAACTGTAGACCAGTTTGATGACCCACTTTTGGTTTAGTCTGTGTTAAGAAAAATAAACACAAAAACCTCACAACATGATTGGTCGTTGCAATCCAATGGCTTTAACACCAAACTGCTGTGAACACTGGTACACCTCACATATTCAACCTAGGGATGGGGCCGACTCGATCCAGTATCAGTACCGGACTCCGATACAAACATAAATAAATCTGAACTTTGGATCCATGTGTCGTGTCTGTGCTGTAATGTCCAGAAGTGATTCCTGACCGGCTGCTCTGCTGCCTGGATACAAACTGTGGAGAGTTTCCTGAGTGTCAATGGAACACAGAGTAATGACACACCACTAGTTTGCAGCCAGCTAGCAGGCTAGCAGCTTTGTGGCTAACCAACAATAATAATAATATATAAAATAAATAAATAAATAAACAATACAAAAACAATCCAAGACTTTTAGACACTTGTTTTATTGTGGTTGTGTTTTTTTCAGAGGGATTATTTGAAGTTTGTATTTATTTTTTAACTATTCGTTGTGCAAAAACATTTTTTATATTTGTATGGTTTTACTAATGCTAAATAAGTGGGAAGAATTAAAATGAGCACAAAGCAAAGATAAAACTAGTGAGGCCATGAAATGTTGGGGGGTGGGCACAGCCCTGTCCCCTGGTGATTGACAGGTGCTGTTCCACAGAGGACTGAGCTGAAGCCACAGCCCTGCAGACAATCAGGGATTGACTGTAGCCTCGAAGTGTTCGTAGCAGGGACGGTTTATTTCTGCTGTTAATAAAAGTGCTGGGGGGTGTACCGGTTCGTACTGAATACCATTTTTTATTTTCTTTATGATATGAATGTTCTGATTACTGACATACAGTTTAAATAGCCTGAACACGTGCAGAACGTTTCGTCACTGTTGCCAGTGAACTGTTTCCCGGGGGACACTTTTCCTCGCTGCACCGCTATGTACGTTAGCATGCTAATGTTATTGTTGAGCAGTTTGTTGAAGTGACAGGTGGTGATTCTGCTGCTTATATTGACTGACGTTTAAAAAACATCCCGTTTTCACCGTCACTGAATGTAGTAAACACGTCTTCAGTGACGTGTACAGTTACACATAACACACGACGTTAATATGGAGACGTGGAGACTTTAGCGTGCTTTTATTGTGAAAAGCTGGGGGGAAGAAGTTTTGTAGTGGAGTTGAGTTGACTGGTGTGCAATGTGAGTCGTGCTGTTAATCTTTATTAAAGGAGACCAATTATGGGTCGTAGAAATGTTTATGGTATGTCTGTGGGCTATCCAGACCATCTTCATTCAATTTAATGCACAAAATAATTCTCAGATAATAAAATTTCCCATTTTCTAGTTCTGCTGCTCTGACTTCTGTTCAGAAGAGCTGTTTATGTTAATGAGCTCTGTTGGTAACGCCCTCCGAAAATCTGTTGACATTAACTCCGCCCTCCAAAGCCAGCGTTTACGTTAGCATGGCTAATAATAGCAGAAGTGACAAATTGTGGATCAGCAGATTTTTTTTAATCCTCATGTGTGGYGTCTCTCAGGTTCTGAAACTTGACAATTTTAAAACCTTTCCATGTGAAGCAGGCATTATGGAGACAGATTTTAATACATTTTACTAAGGTTTACGTTGCACCAAACTTAACACATGATGAATTATAGTGATCTGTAACCATTCCAGTTAACATGAGTGTTGACAAACGTCTTTAACTCATCAGGCTGCTGCGTGAGGATGCCTCTGAGAGGTGTAAGGGTGTGTCACCTGAGCCAGCAGCCGTACTGATTGGTACCAGATGAGTCCCATTCTGTGTGATGGCCTTTACTGGGAACTGGTGCTGGCCGAGGGGCGGGGCTTGCTGCAGAATGGTGACGGTGGTGAGTGGAGAAGCCTGGGAGCTCTGGATGAAATGGCTGACTCCACCTAAGGACGAAGCAGTGACGGATGGAAGCGGCTCAGCTCGGACTGTTACTGAGAAGAAAAGTGTGAAACTAGACGAGGTCTCAACAACATCTGATGATAAAACACTGAAATGACCTTTGAACTCTTGGTGGTCTCGGCCTCCATTCCCCTGATGTTCTGGGCTCTCTGTTGAATCAGACCGACTGCTAACGGTCGCCATGCTGACGGCCGGTATCTGGTGAACGACGTGCACAGTTTGCATGACGGGGGCGGGGCTAACTGTCGTCGTTACAATGGCTGGAGTGGCCACGGTGAAGGTCACAGGCTTCATGGTTGTCTGAGGCAGTGGGCGCTGCACAGCGATAAGAACAGGCTGGCTGCTGAGGGGGGAGGCTGGCAGAGCAGGGTGGGGGGTGACAGACACAACTCACTACCAGAGAAAAACTCAAACAGCAGTTTGATCTCGACATCAACAGGTGTTGAGTTTTACCAGGGGAGTTCTGTGCAAGGCGAGCCTCCTGGATCACAGCGAGTTTGGACTGGCCTGCAGGCGTCTGAGCAGGTGCTGGGGGGGCTGGTTCTGATTCCATAGGGACTGGGGAGCCCTCCCTGGACAAACTGTCTGGGGTCTGAACTCCACTTGAATGGGCAGACAGCGCCCCTGTGTGGTTGGGAGAAGCTGGGGCGCTCCTACAACAACAAAGAGGCCTCATTAAGTAGGTCGCCATCATTTCTGCAACCAAAACAAAACAAAAAACAAAACCCCCAGCATAAAACAGGATCTTATCAAATCCACTCGTTTGGGTAAGTGGGGAAAGTTGCTAAAGTGTTTTGGCTGCTACTTGGTGACAAACGTGGGGTGGGCTCTCCTCTCCACACAGACATGGCAAACAGGCTCTCTGAAACTCTCCACAAAGTTAAGAAACACAAAGRTTAACGTAACGTTTGGGGCAGAACAATACTCCTGTGTTTTTATGAATCTGTAGAACAAAACAAACAACTGAGCGTGTAAAAGTACATGCCATGAGCACTCACAAAAATCTGCATCAGAAGCAGCGAGCTAGCATTAAACAGACACACCTGCAAACTCAACGTTCAGCTACATCAGTGGACGTGAGCCTGAATTTATCCAAGACTTTGTTGCTGTGTGGAATCAGGTATTTCTTTAAAATGAACGAAAAAACATTGTTTTTGATTAAAAACTGTAAACTAGGTTTGGGAAATATTGGCAATTCTTTTTTATCACGATTAAATGTGTTATTTAACTGATAACGATTAATTTCACGATTAATCCCCTGCAGTCCCTGGACAGCCTCATGTCCTGGTCACATGACCAAGTTAGTGGGAAAGATTTGCTCTTTGTAAAAATCTGTTCCAAACTGTGTCAAAATTAGACTTCAGGCTATACATCAAATTTTAAATTGTGTTGATAAATAAATTACAGAACTTATTTTTTAAATATTCGTCACATTTGAAGTGGGGAGGAGCGCTGAGCGGACCGACTGGTGGCTTTAATTCTATTAATAATCGAGTGCCAAAAAAATCAATTAATGTTTTTCTGACAATTAATTGCACATGATAGGATTATGCCCAACCCTAGTGTAAACAGAGGGTCTTTGTCAAAACAGAAGTAAAATTGAGCTTAGATCCTATTCAAGAGGAAAATATGCAGAAACAGTTGCAGATTTCAGGTTGAACAGCTTTTCACAACCGATTATAAGCAGCAAGTCATGGACAATTAAGAGACTTTTTTGGTTTTATAAATTTTTCCCCTCACTATATCTTTATTTTTTCATCCCTAACCACAGAAACAATCACTCCTGCTTTGTCCTCTTCATCCCCCCAAAACAAACAAACAAACAAACAAACAAACAAACAAACAAACAAACAAAAAAACAAAAAAACTGGCAGAACGGTGGAGTACAGCAGCTCAGGGGGACAGAGGGAGGGGTTTCAGTAGTGCTGGGCCGTATATTGTTTTGTACCGAAAACTGTTTTTTTTTTATTTTTGTTATATGGATGTTCGGAATACCGACACACCGGTGTAAATATCCTGAACACTTGCAGAACGTTTCGTCGCGGCCACCAGTGAACTGTTTCCCGGGGGACACTTTTCCTCACAGCACCGCTACGTGCATTAGCATGCTAACGTTATTGATAGAGCAGCTTGTTGCTGCGGCGGGTTGTGTTTCAGCTGCTTATATTGACTGACATAAAAAACATCCTGTTTTCACCATCACTGAATAGTAAACACCTCTTCAGTGACGTGCACGGTTAGATTTAACGTGCAACGTTATAATAGAGACGTTAATGATCTTTTCTCAACCCTTCATGATCGGACCTAAATGCATGATTACTGTCTACAACCAGGCAGAGAAGAAAAGACGTTTAGAGGAG